CTTTTTTCCTAATAATCTACACATCACATCCTACTTTTTACCCATCACATCAAGGGTATTTTTGGAAAGTCAACACAAAATTATTTCTCTCTTAGTAAAACTTTTGTTGAATTAAAAACTGGAAAATGCTAGGGTGCCACCATATGGGTGCTACCATGGGTGTACTCATGCTTCGCACAGACAAACACTAAGGGTATTTTTGGAAAGTCAACACAAAATTATCTTTCCCTTAGTAAAACTTTTGTTGAATTAAAAACTGGAAAATGCTAGGGTGCCACCACATGGGTGCTACTATGGGTGCATCCATGCTTCACACAGACAAACACAGATGATAATTGTCTGTGTCACACACACAATTATTGTCCGTGTTTGTCGCACCCATGGTAGCACCCATATGGTGAGACCCTAGCATGATCCTTTAAAACTAATGTTTGGGCTTGTTTGAGAATAGCTTCAAGAGTTACCTTTAATGTTTTGAAAAAATTATTTACGCGCAGTGTTTAGCATTAATATTTTTAAAGTTAATCTGCACCCTTAAAATTTTATCTAGAACACTAACACTAATAAAAATGATATTCCCAAACGGGCCCTTTGTTATGAAATCTCAAAAAACTAGTGGCGATAATTTTTTTCTCGTCTAGTTATATAATTGGTAGTAAAAGTCACACTTGCTAAAAGTCACACTTTCTCACCGGAACCAAACTATATATATATATATATATATATATATATATATATATATATATATATATATATATATATATATATATATATGCACAGAAACTACTTTTATCCCAATATATTCATCTAGTTTGACTTTTTCTTGTCAAATTAGGTGAATTTTGGACATCTCTTAAATACAATTTTAATGTATATTTGTATAAAAAATAATTTCATAGGTTTATCTTGTTTAGATTTTTAAAAATTATATTTCATTGTATTCATATGACATACAAATTGAGAGTAATTAATAATTAAAATTTGTCTAGTTTGACTTGAAAATAAAATTAGACAAAGAGAATATTATATGCAACGGTTTACATGAAATATCATACTCTGGTATAAAGGAGTGTTTTATTTTCAAGAGTGTAAATTAACTTTTGACATAAAAAGTTTACTTTTGAAAAATAATACGGAGTAGAACTTTTGACAAAGTGATTTGCTGACTTTGAGTTTATATTTGTAATTACACCCACACACACAAACGATAATTAGACCAGGACTTCAAATCTAGCAAAAAATCCTAGATAGGGAAATTTGATTTTCAAAATGATTTTCCTAATTTATAGTAATAAATCCTTGTTAAAGAAATATATACTTCAATTTTGTTAATTTTTGGAAATATGATTTTTGAAATGATAAAATCAAGGAAATACAATCTTCAATTTTTTAAAATTATGTTCGAGTTCAATCAGAGTTTTTTCAAAAATGGGTTTTTCAGAAATATTTTAGTTAAGTAATGCGTAGTATTATTCTTTAAATTATATTTATGTTTGGAATTATGGCTAAAATTTTGAAATATATGATATTCTGAAAATATTTATATTTGAAATTAATTAATATACGGAATACAGTACTTATTTTGTTACGTAAAATTGTTTGACGTTTGAATATGTTAAATGAAACATATATGGATTTATACTAAACTTGCTGGAGTTTATTAAAAGTCTGTATTTTAATTAATAAAATATTAACTTATCGAAATATAAGAATATCTTTAAATTAATAAAATTTCAGGGTCCCAAAGTTATTAATTTATAGAGGTTTTTGCAGGTGTCTTTTTTTTATAGATACTGATTAACAAATGTTTCTTTCTAACAAACCGAGTAACAAATGTATCTCTACGAATAATGTTAAAGTCACAAACAAAATATTTACAAAATGTACAGACTTACCATGACAAATAGTAGTTCTAAATAATGGTTTCAAAACATTAAAAAATAAAAAGTTAAGTTTATAATGAAAAGTTTGTGCATTTTGTAAAAAAATTGTTTGTGATTTAGGGCCTGTTTGAGAATAACGTTAGAAATTAGCGTTAACGTTTTGGATAAAATTTTAACGGTGCAGATTACTTTGAAAACATTACTTGCTACCCGTAGATAGCATTTTCAAAACGACAACGCTAATAGGTAACGTCATTCCCAAACAGGCCCTTAGTATTATTCTATGTGTACGTACTCGCTAAATAATAAAAGGTTATTTTGATTCAAGAAGCTAAGGACGGAAATTACGGGAAGAATAATGCTTTGTTTATATACTAAGAGGCTGTTTGTTTCAGCTTCTTAATGGTTCAGATGTCTGAATGGTTCAGCACTTAATGGTTCAGACTGTTTGTTTCAGCATCTTAATGGTTCAAATGTCTGAATGGTTAAGAGATTTGCCTCTGAATGGTTAAGTATTATACAGAGTCTGAATGGTTAAGACCTCTTATCTGAATTGATCAGACATTTGCCTCTAAATAGTTAAGCAATATACTAACTCTTAATGGTTCAGACCTCTTACTGGTTCAGCACTTAATGGTTCAGACCTCTTACTGGTTCAGCACTTA